CACCTGAACCCACACAGGAAGATAATAGGGGGACACGGTTTTTCTGAGGGGAGGGTCAAGGTACCCGCCCTGAGGGACCAGGGAGTATTGGAGATCACATGTTGAAATATCAATTCATTGGTCCCAGTGAACGTACAATGTGTGCTGGCTCTGGTAGACACAGGAGCTGAATGTTCACTGATTTATGGTAACCCTGTGCAGTTTCTTGGGATTCCCACTGTTACAGATAGTTATAGGGGTAAGGTTATCAGAGTGAAGCAGCCCGAATCCCACTGGGAATAGGGTGTCTACCTGCAAAGGAGTATACTGTGCATATCTTTCCCATCCCCAAATATATTTTGTGGATAGATATCCTGCAGGCCCTACTGTTGCAGAGCACTGCAGGTGAATTCAGAGTGAGGATACATATGGTGACAGAAGTTCTGAGGGGATATGCTAAGCACCTGTCCATACCTTTCTCTGTGCCTCAGCAGTTGACTAATACCAAACAATATAAATTGCCTGGAGGGCATACAGAAATTGGAGAAACCCTCCATCAAGTGGAGAAGGTGGGTATTATAAAGCCCACCCATACTCCTTTCAATTCCCCAGTATGGCCAGTAAAAATTCCTGATGGCTCCTGGCATATGACCATGGATTATAGAAAACGAATAAAGTCGTCATTCCCACTGCGCATGCTGCCATCCCCTCTATTGCAGACCTGATGAATACCCTCAGTCACAAACTAGGAACATACCATTATGTTGTGGATCTTGCTAATGCCTTCCTTTCCATTGACATAGAGCAGGAAAGTCAGGAACAGTTTGCCTTCATGTGGGAAGGACGGCAATGGACTTTCACCATCCTCCCACAGGGATACCTCCACAGCCCCACCATCTGTCATGGACTTGTAGCCCAGGGACTTGGAAGCAAGGAAGAAACTGCCAATGGTGCAGCTGTACCATTATATTGATGATATCATGCTCACGTCTCATTCTCTTTCAGATCTAGAAGGTTTTCATGTACCATATAATCAGATCTATATTGCTGCAATGTCTACAGGAGAAAGGATGGGCAGTGAACAGTACCAAGGTTCAGGGACCTGGTTGTCAGTCAGATTCTTGGTGGTTGTCTGGTCGGGAAAGACTAAAGTTATCCCAGAAACAGCAATAGATAAAGTCAAGGCTTTTTCCTACCCCTACAACTGTGGCATTGTTACAGGAGTTTTGGAGTCTTTTAGGCTACTGGAGAGGGTTTATCATGTACTTGACACAAATTCTGAACCCATTATATCATTTGGTACGAAAGGGCATCAGGTGGGACTGGTATGAGACATGTGCATCTGCATCTGCTTTTACTGCCACAAAACAGGCAGTCGAGGTGATAGGCTCATCAAGACCCTGTGAGCTGGATGTTCATGTGACTGAAGACGGTTATGGCTACGGTCTCTGGCAGTGGCTTGAACGAACTCACCAACCTATTGGATTCTGGTCACAACTCAGGAAAGAGCAGAGGTATGGTACAACTTAACAGAGAAACAATGGGCTGCTGTCTACCACATCTTGTTGGCTACAGAACCCATAACCAAAACGGCTCCAGTAAAGGTAATAACCACCTATTCCATCATAGGGTGGGTATGAGACTGGACCCAAAAGCCACGGAGTGATGTTGTACAGACACCTACACTGGCCAAGTGGGGTGCTTACCTACAGCAGCATAGTGCCCTCTCTAATAGCCCCTTGAATGAAGAACTCCAACGCTTATTGGGGCTAGCGACATAAACCAGTGAAAGGCAGGAAGAATTTGCTTTAGAGCCATTAATAGCAGAGAGCCCTTATCAGGAAGGAAGAGCCCCTATACCCGAAGATGCATAGTACACAGATGGCTCGACCCATGAGCAGTCCCTGAAATGGAGAGCCGTAGCTTTCGATCCCAAGACTGAGACAATATGGATGGAAGATGGTGAGGGGAAGATCAGTCAGTGGGCAGAGCTGTGTGCAGTGTGGCTTGTGATCAGCCAGAAGTCCTCTCCTATAGTTGTGTGCACTGACAGCTGGGCCATCTATCAGGGCTTGACCCTGTGGCTACTGACATGGTACCATGCCAACTGGTTGGTTGGTCACCAACCCCTTTGGGGGCAAGAGTTGTGGCAAGATGTATGGGCCTGTGGTCAGACTAAAACAGTTACAGTATTCATGTGACAGGCTACTTGCTGCTGGCCTCCCCAGGAAATGATGAAGCAGACACATTGGCCCAGGTATGTTGGCTAGAAGGAAAGCCTGCCTCTGAAGTAGCCCAGTGGTTACATCAGCATTTCTTGCATGCAGGGCAAAAGACAATGTAGGCTGTAGCCTGTCAGTGGGGCCTACCTTCGAACTTTGAAGAAGTCAGCAGAACTCAGCAGGAGTGCATGTATACTCTAAAAGGGACTTACACTGAGTTCCACAACAACATGGAACAATAACTAAGGGGCCAATAGCCCTTGTCAGGTGGCAGATAGACTATATTGAGCCTCTGCCCATGTCAGAAGGGTACCAATATGCCATAACTTGTGTGGACACAGCTACTGTACTTCTGATTGTTTTTCCTGTTTGTTGTGCAGACCACTGGACAACCAAAAGAGGCCTGGAGCATCTTTTTGCAGCCTATGGCCCACTGCATGTAATTGAGAGTGATCAAGGCACCCACTTTACTGGACATCCACTACAAGAATGGGTGCAACAATTAGGAATCAAATGGAAGTTTCATGTACCATATAATCCTACTGCAGCAGGCATGACAGACGGGTACAATGGTTTGTTAAAATCTGACCTAACATCAAACACCAGTAATCTACAGGCATGGTCATTCCACTTATGGACAGTGCTACAGTGTTTGAATGAGAAGCCTCAGAAGGGGGCATTGAGCCCCATAGACACTAATACATATTGCTGCCTCCCCTATACAACTGCAAGTACAAACTAAGAAAGAATCATTGAAGTTGAGGTTTGGCCACCAGAATAATATCTTGCACCAACTGCAACAAACCCTGGAGATTCTGTTCAGTGTATGTGGCCTTAGACATTTTAACACATGGACCAGTGATGGCTGGCCCTCTTGGGACAAGGCCTGGAAGCTGGCCTTCTGTGTATTCCAGAGGTAACAACAGAGTGGCCCCCAAATATCATGGTAGTATACCCCAAATGGCCAGAAGATAGGAGCATCTTCCCAGGAAGTTTTGTTTTATCATTATGACCAGTGCATGTGCCTCCATTAGCACTGTATATAGACCCCTCAGTAAACCACGTAGGGAGAGGGATAAAGGTATGATATACTAGACCTGGACAGGAACCCCTTCCTGCCACAGTACTATCACAGGACCACTGTCTTGCATGCATCCTACCTAATGGACAAGATTTGCCTGTTGAAGTCATTAAAACATGTGTCTTATCACCCTTCAGGGTTAATCTCTAACATTTTGTGGATTGGGCACACACCCTAGCAAAAAAACACTACCCACTGGGGTTCATGGAACTCCCTATCAGTACCACTACTAGCCTCATGTGATATGGAGAAAGTGAAGTCTGCTATGGTCAGGATTCTTATCTGGCCCTAGTTGGATTGCTCACTACACATGACTCTATATAAAGAGCTCCACCCAGTGTTCTGGGTGACACGGTGGCATGGTTGCACAGCTGCTGCCTGGCTGCAGGGCTACAAGGCTGCAGGACAGCAGAGCCTGGAGTGGTGGCAGCGCTGAGGACAGAGACTGAGATAGCTGCGGGGGCAGAGAGGCCCAAAGGCAGAGACCACTTGCTGCATGCAGACTTGCTCTGAGTGGGCGGGATTCTAGTGATTGACCTGCCACCATGGGAATAAAGTTGGGTATAAATGCTTTTATCCCAAGAACATTCCACTGTCATTTTTTCAGTCTCATTGAATCCATAGTGAACTTGTCCAGGGCTGAAACCCATTGGCAAGACACATGGAAAGTGTGACTTGTGAACTGAGACTGGTTTGAATACAGCTGGGATGACTGGGATGGGCTTGAGGATCACTATTATTATTATAATTTTTGTTGTTAAAGATTCCAGCTTTCTCACACAAGGATCACTGCACAAGTTTGATTTCTTCTGTAGAAAGTGTGAATCATGAGCTCATCTGAGTAGAACTGGTTTGAATACAGTTGGAATAACCTCCTCAGGCTTGAAGATTATTATAATTTTTGTTACCTGTATCATAATTTTTGTTATTATCTGCATTTTATTGCTATCCCCTGTTGCTGTTGTGGAATCTAGTACCAATGCTCCAGCTTTCTTGAAGAGACCATCGTGGAAGACTGAGGGTGTGTAAATTGTGAAGCAAGAATCCTGGAGGGTTGGAGTGTGTGTAAAATGGAAGTCCTTTTGGCCAGGATCCTCATCTGACCCTAAACTACTTGATGATGTAATTGTAATTGGCCTACTGCTAGGCTACTGCTTCCACACCCTAGGCAATGAGTTATTATTGACTGAGTCACTATATAAAGAGCTCTGCCCAGTCCTCTGGGTAGAGGCAGAGACAGAGTTGGATTACAGACCCGCAAACTGCTGGATGCAGACATCAATCTAGTGTTCAATCTACAGCCAAGAGAATAAAGCCAGGCATAAAACCTTTTACCCCAAGAACGTTCCATTGTCATTCCTTGGTCTCACTTAATCCATAGTGAACTTGCTCAGGCCTGAAACCCTCAGACAAGACAATGCCCCTTCTCAAGTTGGGTGGGACAACACTGAGGTGTGAGTTCTCCTCTATCTCCCAGAACTGCCCAGTGGGGTTACACTCTAGGGGCTCACGGTGATGCCTCTGTTGATAATACACCATTTACTGGCTGCTTGCCCTTTCCCAGTTCACATCCCTCCCCTTTGGTATTTTCTGGGGCCACTCTTAAATAAACCTCTTTCATTCAAATTCTCATCTTGGGGTTGCTTCTGAGGGTACCCAAAGTTCTAGCAATATATCCTATGAATTACCCTTACACATATGCAAAAATGACATATTATCAATTTATTAATTCACCATTGTTTGTGAATGGTTGAAAATAATATATCAAAAGAAGAGAGATTAAATACATTATGATCCATCCACATGACAGAACAGTATGGAGTTGTATAAAAGAATGAAAAGTACTTTATGTCTTGATATGAAATAATCTGAGCAATACTATTTTTAAAAAAGCAAGATGTAGAACAGTATAAATAACATGCTAGTTAGCCTTTGTGTTAAAAAGCTTGTGTTTATGTGTGTGTGCACAGGCCTGTATTTTTGTGAAGGAGACCTACAAACATAGCCTTGACTGCCCTTTAAGTGGGACTTGAATGGCTGAGGGGACCAAGAGGGAAAGAAGACTTTTCACCACTTATCCTTCCTTGCACATCTTCAGATTTTTGGACTACGGACAGGTTTACCCATTCAAAAAAATAAAAGTAACAAAGTAGTAAGTAAATGAATAGATAAAGGGATATATGCCATTGCTCATCAGATCTTTGTAGCTCTAGCGTGGAATGGGTTGAACAGGCTGACCAGATATTGGTTTCAGCACATCTCCTCTCTGTGCTCCTGGCCCGACTGCACAGGCTCCCACAGGTCTGCATGCTCATCCACACAAGGAGGCCTCACTTCCTTCAGCAGTGGGAGGATCTGTTCCATTTCCCTTTACGTTCACCCATAAGAGCTGCCATCACCTCTGTCCCAGCCCAAGAAGTTCTCTTCTGCCTGAGAAGTTGTGCTGAAGGCACCTGTCCCCATGCAAGAGACATCTGCTTCACATATACAACTCACACAGTCATGAACATGCTGCGCACACACATGTGAATGGAAACCAACGCAGGTCTTCCTGAGTGAAACATCACCACTCCAGTCTCCTAAGAGACACATCCATCCAGCAGTCTGGAGACTTGCATGCTGGTCTAACCAAAGTCCTGCTTGAGGCAGGAGAGGCCACCCAGCAAGGAAGGAGCCACTAATGGGGTGAGGCAGCTTCAGGACCAGCTTCACTCATCATGTCCTTGTACTGCCGTTTGAAGAAGCCGAGCTGTGGGGGCAGAGACAGAGGAGTTAGGGACACTGAAGTCAGGGGTGCAAGTGAGAGCCATGCAGACCAGGAGGGGCAGAGGGACTAAAAGTCATGAATAATGAGGCAGAGCATAAAGAGACCTGTGGAAAGTGCAGCAGGGAGGAAGACAGCATCAATATTGGGCCAGGAAAGAAATATAAAATAGAAGGAGAAGCACTACTTCTTGTATGGTGGTCACCCTGTACCAGGGGACACTCTCAGGACACTACACATATTAACTCAATTAACTTCACAAAATGATATTTATATTTTCATTTTACAGCTGAATAAACTGAGACTCTCACTTGCTCGAGGCCACAACAGCTGGCAGCACTGGGGGCAGCCAACTCAGTTAGAAGAAGCCAAGAAGCAGCGAGGGTGAGGGAGCAGTGGGAAGAGGGCCTCAAGGTAATACCTTGTACAGTCCGGCGGCAATAAGAGCCAGGAGCACCAGCCCCCCGACTGAGCTGCCCACTATAAGCGGTACAGGGTCATGCACTTCCAGCAGCTCCACTCTGGTCTCTGTCTGAGGCAGAAAGGGTGGGTGCATCAGGAGAGATAGACTCTGGGTTTCTGCAGGTTCCCCAATCACACCTTGTGCCATCCCAGAATCCAAAATAACACCTCCCAATGCCCCCCAACCCCTGCCTTCAATAATCCCTCTGCATCTGACATGGATACCTGGGCCCTCAGAAATGCCCCCTGTTCTGGCAGCAGGGCAAACTTTGACTCATCAAACAAGATCTCCGCCACGCTCACAACCTGAAGGTGGTTAGGCAAAGTCTGTGGGAGAGAGAGAGGATGGGAGCTGGACCTGTGGGTCCCCAAAGTTTCACGTTTGTGCCCAGCTGAGCCTCAGACCCACACATACCTTAATATACCAGTCAAATGAGAGATTGCCTTTGAGAGTGACAGAGACTTTTTCCAGGATGTTAAAGAATGAGATGTCACACTTGATTCTCTGGCATACAGCAACAGAGCAGTTCTGGGGAAGGGAGGAGAGATGACTAAGGAAGCTGGGGCAGAAACACATATGCATTCAGCCTTCTCAGTCAAGAGACAGTCTCTGGCACCAATGAGGGGCAGTGCTGGACCTGTTTGTGGCCCTGAGGCCAGGGTTAGGCTTATTCTCACCAACACTGGGGTCTTCTTAAGCTCCTCCAGGAAGTTAGGTTTGGGGGGATCCCTCTTCTCAGAGTGGCACATACTGGAGAGGTTCTAAGGAAAGAGAGACACTGAGCAGAGAGAGAGACAAGGGATCCAAGGTTCTCAAGGAGGCGGTGTGGATCCAGGAAACAGTCAGAAATGGCTCCAAAGTCAATCAGAGGAAATAGAATTTAGGAAAGACAGGGACTGTGGAAGGAAGAGTTGGGCCAACTCCTCAGGGGCACCTGGGCTTACCTTGGAGGAAGTGACCTCCAGGTTGTCCCACACAGCAACCTGGTTCAGCTGGATGGGGACCCAGAAGACCACAGTGACAGGAAGGCTCCTCTGCCCCAAGTTGTTGAACTGCACAGTGAGGGGAGGAGGCAGATATCAGGCTTCTGGCCTTTCTGCCCCCACCAGAAACTAGACTCAGCCTCCCCTCTCTCAACAGCCAAGTGCACCTCCAAAAGGCATTACAGACCCAAGAATTCTCCCTCTCAACTCTTCTGTGAGGCAGTAGAGTGTAGCAGCTAAACCACATTCAAGAGTCAGACAGACTGGTCCTATGCAGAGGCTCTTCCTCTTACTAGTAGTGAGACCATGTGCAGGTTTTGTTAACCTATAAGTCCTAGTTTCTTTATCTGTAAACTGGGAATAACCATAGTACCTCCATCACAGAGTCATTATGAGGATAAAATGAATTTGTTATGCATGTGTGTGTACAAACATATGTATGTGCATGCTTATATCTGGACAGAGTTAGAGTGAGCTTAGAACAGAGCCTGGCACATAGAAGTCACCTGATGCATTTCTCTCATCATTATTTCTGCATTCCAATTACACTGATTTCCCTCCCAGCCTCCTTCCCAGCTCCCCACCTGATACTGATGCTCTATAATGTGGCTGGTCTTCTCTGAGGCTGTGAAGTTGAGATATTTGGTGGAGACCTCTTGGCTGATGGGAGAAAGAAGAAGGCACAGTGGTGACAGAACATCACAGGTGTCTGGGAAAGGATGTCAGGTTAAGTGTGTAAGGGTGAACAGCACATGGGTAATGCAGCCCTGAGAGGGTGCGAGTGGGATGGTGTGCAGTGAGTGATGTGTGTCAGACACACAGTATGTGCCAGTTTGGGCCACACACGCTCACAAATACATACCCATGCACACCTGTCCTCAGACACACACATAGGCACACATGTGTACAGACTCATACACAGAGATACACAGTGGGCCATGCCCAGCCCAGTGGTGAAGGCAGAGCAAAACCCTAGAAGCCAGCACCTGGTGACCACCAAGTAGATAGCATATTTCACAGGCAGCTCCAGCTGGAACTCAGTTTTGTTGGTCCTGGGCATGTTGTTCTCACTAAAGGGAAACAGAGCTCTGGTCAGCTCTTAAGAACTGAGAATCAGGCTTGCCTTCTTCTCCTTCTCCCTTTCCCTCACGCTCTACCTCCAACCAACCACAAAGTCCTGTCCTCTGCATCCCAAACACCACTGTGCTCTACCCCTTGCCCCTACCTAGCAGAGGCCCATCCCTACTCACCTGGACATTGGCAGTACCTTCTTATCACTGGTCCCCTGAATTCAAAACCACTCCTACCCCAATCCCCAGCCTCTTGGGGAGTAATCCTTCTGCATGCAAATATGATCATCTTACTCCCAGGTTAAATTGAAAATTTCCTAATAGCACCCATAAGTCATTTTATGACACAGCCCACATTTAACCAACTCCTTAAATCCTGCATTATGTGCTTAAAGCACACTTAAACACAACCTGTTCTTTCCATTTGGTACACACTTCCTTCTGTCTGTCTTCATGGCTACCCTCAATTCCTGTCTTTGCTTGGCTAACTCAGCCTGAATATATCTTCTTCAAGAATCTTCTCCAAACAGCAAGCTCCCAAGAACACTGGTCATCATTCATTTCATACTGTATTGTAATCACCAGCTTTCCTGTCTATCTTTGCCATTAAATTATAACTTCTATGAGGACAGGAACCATGTCTGTCTTATCCATTGCTGTCCCACCAGCACTGGGCACAATGCCTGGTATAGTGACTGCTCAGTCAGTATTTGTCATTCAAATGATAGATGAATGAATGAGCTGAGCTGAAGTGAAGACCAGTGGGGAGAAGGTCCCACTGGTTGAAGAAGGGGTTGGGGCCTCAGAGGGGAGGATGCCTGGGGGAGTCCAGGCATAGCACACCTGGTCACACTGGCCTTGAGGAGCAGTCTGTTCCCAAGGGAAGCATCAGAGCCCACATCAAATGTGATATTAAAGGTGACCTGGAGTTGGAGAAAGGAGACAGTGACAAGAATAGGAGAGAAGAAACAATCCAACTGTTCATCAACTGAAGAATGGATAAACAAAATGTGGTGCATCACACAACAAAATATTGTTCAGCAGTAAATAGGAATGAAGTACTAGTACATGCTGCAAACATGGATGACCCTTGAAAAACATTATGCTTAGTCAAAATACCCAATCACAAAAGACCACATATTGTATGACTTCATTCATATGAAATGTCCAGAATAGGCGAATCTAGAGATAGAAAGATTAGTGGTTGCCTAGGGTGAGGAGAGAGGAAGGACTGGGTCTGATGGCTGAGGGGAGCAGGGTCTTTTCTTGGGGTCTCAAATATTCTAAAATTTGTCATGGTGGTGGATATGCACAACTTGGTGAACATACGAAAGGCCATGGAATTGTATTCTTAAAATGGGTGAATTGTATGGTATGTGAGTTATACTTCACTAACGCTGGTTTTCAAAAAAGGAACCACTACTTTTAAAACAGAAGATGAATTCAGGAGAAGACAAAGGAGTAAAGGAGAGGAGGAGTCAGCAGCCTGACCTCTGAGTTGTTTGGGAAGATAGGGTGGTTTATGCTGCAGCTGCTGATCTTCAAGTCCCCAGACCCATTGGTGGGGATGCCAGACTCACAGGTCAGGCGCCAGAATCGCCCTGTGCGTTGGTTCTGGAAGGCAAGTGAGGCAGTGTGGTAATGTCAACTACCAACCTGATGGGGAAAACCAAGTCAGACAGAGCCTGTGGAGGAGTTGGCTACCTGGGCCTCTGATACCCTTCGATAGGACATGTCAGGTGGGTGGAAGAAGTTGACGTGAGTCCAGTAGGAGTCCTCACCCTCATTTCTCACTGTCAGTGTCACGTTGAAGTCCCGGGGACCACCCACCACCAGGGTGTCCAGGCTGTAGGAGGAACAAGTCAGGCTGTGAGATGCTGAGGGCCTCCCTTAGGCAAGTCTGCTTTGGTGGGAAGGAGGCCTGGACACTTGGAGAGAGCAGACAGTGGATGGGACAAACAGACAAAACTCCAAAGCAGCTGCTCTCTATTAGGCTTCCTCAGGAGCCAGGAGAAGTGCAGAGCACCAGGCTGTGGTGCAGGTTTGGAGGTCACAACAAGGAAAAGAAACTCACCTCATAAGACTGAAAGTGATGCTGAGGTCATCCTGGCAAATGCCATCACTACCACAATTCTGTTCAAAGGGAAACTACAAAAAAATAAAATATGATAAATGAAAGGAAATAATGAAGTGATATGAAATGAAACAATAAAATATTGAAATAAAATTATACGAAATGAAATTAAATGAGCTTCAACAATCTTGGCCTCTGGTTCCTTCCATACCCCCATAGGGCCCCACCTCCAGGACTCACCGAGGCTGTGAAGAGTCTCTGAGCATCCACAGCCAGCACTGGCCGGAGGTTCCCATAAGAGGCCAAGGGCTTCCCCACCAGAGAGAAGTTGAGAAGCAGGACAATGGGAGTCACTGAGTCCTCTACACAATACTGAGTAATGAGAGGGTAGGTTAGGGTTCTTCCCTGCTTAGCTTCCCAAACCCATCCCAGTCTTAAAGGATCCAGGAGTGTGGCCATCCCCTGCTCACCAATAACCGTAGCTTCAGGATCTCACACTTCTGACTCAGCCCCAAGGTCTGTGTCTGTCTGCTTGTGCTGTTCTTTGTCTCATCAAAGAAGACCCGGGGATGTAGGAAACTTGGGTCCAGAGCCAGGTCATAGGTGATAATGCTCTGGATTTCTCCTGAAGGAGCAGGGTAGCATAGTAGTGAGGAGCTCAGCTTTGGAGTCATATAGGTAGGAATATGCAGCCCAGCTCTGCTGCTCTCCAGCTATACAACTTTGGGCATGTTATCTGACCTCTTTGAGTCTTAATTCTTTATTTTTAAACCAAGGATAATAATTGCTCCTTTCCAGCTGTGAAAATGAAATAGTGTCTATAAAGCAGTTGACACAGTGCCTGCTGCATATGTACTCAAAAAATAGTAGCTATTCTGTTACATAGTAGGAAATCAAGTCTATTTTTCTAGCTTCCTTTAACTCTTTTCTCTTTGTCTTTGCTCTTAAGTTACTTGTGCCTTGGTTGGTACAATGCATAAGATTATATATGTTAGTATAATGTACTATGGCATGATTTCCTCTATATTTATCCTGCTTTGATTTAGTAGAGAATCTTGATGTTTTTCATCAGTTTTTGAAAATTCTTTACCACCATTTCTTTAACTGTTGCTTATTTTCTATTTTCTCTCCTTCTTTTGGAACTCCAGTTACATATTATACTTCTTTTACCATGTCCCATATATCTCTTATGATTAAAAAAAATTTTTTTTCATCCTTTGTTTCTCTGTATATGTTAATCTTGGTACTTTCAATTGATTTACCTTTCAGTTTGCTAATTCTGTCTTCTGCTAATGTGCTATTAAATCTATTTATTGTATTCTTAATTTCAGTCTGTATTCTTCAGTATTAGAGTTTCCATTTGATTTGATTTATGAATTCCAGGTCTTTTCTGAAGTTCTCCATCATTTACCTTTTTCTTGAAGATATTAATTGTCATTAATTTTTAAATTCCTATCTAATAACTCTAATTTACAAATTAGAAAATTCCTATCTAATAACTCCATTTATGGATCACCTATGGGTCTCCTTCTATTGTCTATTGTTTCCCTTAGTTGCTGGTCTCATGGAACTTGTCCCAATAGAAAGACCAAGGTTTAACAAGGCCCCTCTCAAAACTTTCTATCCCTCGCATTGGGAAGCTGCTGAACTTCTGCTCAACTCTTTAACTCTCCAGTTTCTGTCTTCTACTGAGTTTCTTGAAGTATTGACATGAACATGCATGGCCTTGGAGTCAACCAATGACTTGGTTGGAATTTTGTATATGGATTTGGGGGTACCTTCTCTGCAGTTCTCTAATCTCCAAGACTTTGTAGAGAATTGTTCTCTAGCTACTCCAAATCTGACTGCCCCAAACTCTGACTGCTGTCTCCTCAGCCCAGTAAGATTGCTAGAAACCTAATTTTATTCCCTCCCCCATTTGTCTCTAGTACCACCATTAGTATTCCCCATGCCAAGCACAATAACACTCTGAGAATAGAGACAAAGGAGGAAGTCAGGTTAGTTGTGATAAAATGCATGTCTGAATGCTTTGTGAATTTGTGTGGGGCCCTTGATTCTCTGTGGAGCTGAGAGAGTAAGGGAGTGCCACATGTTCACTTCTCTTGGGGGAGTTTGCTGGTCCTCCCCACCTAGTAGGGGAATTGCCTGCTCATTCCAGCCAAGCTTGGAGAAGGCTGTCAGAGTCTGTTAGAACTTTGCTCTGGACTACCAGAGGCAACAAAGACTGGGTTGGGCCAACCATCAACATCCCCAGTCATTTAACCTCTTGACACATACCCACCTACCCTCACCTTCCCTCAGCCGGTCCCGTGTGTTCTTGCGAACACGAAAGCAGATGTTGACCTCTCCAACATTCTGGCCTCTCACCACTTGCTCACGACACTCAAACACATTCCTTGCCACTTCCCTGGGTGTGAACTCCATGGTCACTTCAACTTTTAGCACAGGCTGGGACCTGTTAAGGACACCAGAGGGCCATTAAGGGCATTCAGACAGCAAAGCCCCTCCTTTCAGGGGAGACAGCTGGTGTGCTCCAAAAGAGGTTCTCACCTGAGCAGCAGTGCATGTCCCTGGGCCCCTACAGCCAGGTCCACCAGTCCATCCATTGTGAGGTCCTGGCCCCCACTCAGTGACTGACCAAAATACTGGAGACTGGGGGATAGCTGAGAGCCTGAAATCCTCTGAGGGTAGAAAAGAGAAGAGGAGAAAGGGAGTGGGAAGGAATAGGGAAATGTGTAACTCAATCACTCAGTGACCCAAAGGAGAAATTGTCTGGGCTCCACTCAAGTCTCATGTCTGGCAACTTCTTCAGGAATTAGGACAACTATTACACAAAACCTTGAGATGATACACAAAGTTTTCGTTAATTACCTGAGTTTTCAAGGGAGAACAAAAGTTTTTATAGGAAAGAACTGACATAGCATATTATTTGACTCAGCTGAATCTCATTTACATGGTCAGGATAATGTAAACACTGAATATCTATCTAACCAAAATTCTCATTTAAATACAAGGATGGAGGGGTGGGATGGAAGGCAGGTAATTATGTGGCAAGAGAGGTCTGAAAAAGAGCTCAGTCCTTACCAATCCAAGTGGGAAGTCAATGCTAGAACAAAAATCTAGAAGGAGCAAAATAATCATACCATTGGAAGCATGGAGAATCATTGAAAGAGCTGATAGTGGTTTCCTCAAGAGCAGGAAGAATGAAGAGGAAAATCACAGTGTGGGTGTGAAATTATTGTTTTTCATAATCAGCCTTTAAGAATGATTTTGACTCTTGATATGCAAGAGTAACACTGAAAGAATAACAGCCAAATAAATTTTAGAAGTACTTAATGCCACTGAACTGCATATTTAAAAATAATTAAGATGGTGAATTTTATGTCAGGTATATTTTATCATATTTTTTAAGTGACTTTATCAATGAAAAGGAAGGATAAGGAAGCATGGAATGTCAAAAATGTGCTATATCTCAATCTAGGTAATGCTTTTCTTTGGGTTCACATGAGGGACTTCATCACTTAAGATTTGTATTTCAAAATTAGGTATAATGTGGTAGTTTGGAGAGTCACAGCATATTTGCTTGTCCAAACACTTGACTACATCTAGCCCCATTCACAGGAAAAAGCAAGTAAAAAAATGCAAACAATAAGATAGCAAGTTTTTTTTGCATTTTTTTAATTCCAAAGTCTGTGGCATGTATGTATGTATGTATATGTGTATGTAAGTATGTACATGTGTATGTGGTGTGTGTGTGTGTGTGTATACATATAAAGTACCCTCCCCTTACCCTTCTTTCCCTTTGCAAGGTGAGTTAGGTACAGATAAGGGGAGGGAACTAGGGCTTTCACTTTTTATTTTAGATTTATAAATTATTCAAGCATGTAAAGCTTTTATAATAAAAAGAAAGTAAAACCAGAGCCTTCAAGTCCCATTTGCACAGAGAAACAACAGAAGCCAATTATAATACTTACACAATTGTGGAAAGAGGCTCTGAGAAACAGAGAGAAGTGGGTAAGGCAGTGAATGTATAACAAGTACTGGGGCCTACACACTTTCCCATTTATATGAACTTCTAGAATGGGCAAAACTAACTTATGGTGGAAAATAATTCCAATTCTGGAGAACAGTAATTTCCTCTGGAATGGAGTAGAGTCATAAATTGGGAAGGGGCAGGAGGGAACTTTCTGGAATGATGATGATGTTCTGTATCTTGAAGGACTGCAGGTTACCCAGGTGTATGCATTTGTCAAAATTCATTGAATGGCTAAGGATTTGTGCATTTCCTGCCTGTAAATTTTCTTTAAAATAACAGTAATAAAATACTGAATTCTAGTTAATGACATACATGCTGAAGTATTTAGGGGAGAAGTGAATTGATATTGCAACTTACATTGATATGCATTTGAAAAAATAAGATGGCCTGACGGACAGAAAAAAGGGTAAAAAAGAATAGATATGTGAGAGTGTAAATAGAGACAAATGATCACTATAGGTTCTAAATTGTAATATATGGGTGCTCAGTGTACAATTCTTTCAAATTTGCTGTAAATTTGAAGGTTTTCTAAAAAAAATTTGGGAAAACCTCTACTAATGCTTGGGGTCCTGACCCCAAACCGATTAAATCAGAACCCCTTAACAGAGGCCAAGCACATGTGTTTTTTACAATCTTCAGGTGATTTTAATGTTTGGTAGGGTTGAACCTCTGGCAGGGGTGATGACAACAGAGAGAGGAAGGGCACAAGAGAAATGTGAAGTTAGAAAAATTTGGAGACCAGAAGCTAGAAGAATGATGGCCTCAGCTGGCTGTGGTGAGAGAAAACCAGACTGTGGGGTTCCCTCCAGAGAGTGGGCTCCATTTGGCAGGGAACAGAGAGCCATTTTAGAGAAGAAACCAGTTGTGGTGACCAGAATTTTGAGTGACTAACCATCAGGATGGGCTATATCAAGTATTGCCAGGACCCAGTGCTAAAAAAAAAAAATATAGGACCCCTTACTCAAAAACTATTAAGAATTTCAAGATAGCAAGAGCAGAGCATTAAAACAAACACAGAGCACAAGTCACAAGTCATAAGACATGCAATCCTGGTAGCGAGACCAGCCATAGAGGTTTTCTGAGATGTAAGACTTTCAGTACTGAGACCAGACAGATGTGTGCAAACCAGACTATTGGTCACCCTACCAAGACTGAGATTGAGAAGAAAGAAATGCCTACCTTCCAACACTTCTGGCTTGCATTTACCACCTCTAAGCCTTAATTTCCTTATATGTAAAGTGGTAGTGATGATGCCCCCATGCACCTCTTATATTTCTGGTTTTTGAAGGTTCTGAAAAGGAGTACTGAGGGACTAGATCTGGCAGCTGTGGGAATGCTGAACTAGAAAGGGACAGATCAAGAAAAGTGCTACTGTTGTGACAGAGACAATACCTGGGCCTCACCTGGCTGTGGGAGGTGTTGATGCCCACTTCTGCAGTTCCATGAAATATGTAGACAGCACCCCTGTTCTCCTGCTCTCCTGGGGCCCCGATGGCCACGTCCGTCAGCTTGTCCCCATTCACATCCCCCAGCACTGTCAGGGCTGCCCCAAAGCGGCCCCAGGGCTGGCCCTGCACCCCATGGAGAACAGCCTCACACTGCCACCTAGCCCTCTGCAGAACAAAACCAGTATCAGGCCCTAACCTGGTCAGCCCGCACCCCACACCCAAACCCCACCCCACACCCAGCCCTCACCCAGCCCAGGCCCCATCAGGCACTCACCCCACGAGGCAAGGGGCACACAGACACCTGGCCTCCCCGGGTCGGCTCATAGTAATGGGGAGCCCCAATTAGGACCAGGTCAGAACTGCCATCTTTGTCCATGTCCACGGAACAGAGGGAGGCCCCGAAGTAGGAGCCAATCTACAAGAGATGAGGTCAGGATCACATATCTCTTCCCACCTAAAGCAGAGTGTGGGGTTTTCTCTCTGTGAAGAAAAATCATGCCTGCTGGGGAAAGCCCTTTGTAGAGGATGTGTTCCTCTATGATTCATGATAAATTCTTGTTTGAATGTGCTGCCATCTGCAGAAGCATATTATAGAGTTGGGCAATGGCTGAGGATTTGCCCCATATAGTGTTCTAGGGAGATGATTAAGGTATCAAAGAAGTTGGATTGGAAATAGCCTAGAAGAGCAGACATGATATCCTTTCAATATATTGGAATTTTTTAAGGAGGTAAAAAATCAAAGTTGGCAATCTGGCTAATAAGGAATCAACTTGCTTGGATTAAAAATAACTATTGGTACAGGAATTTTTGCATAATATTGGGAAATAATGTCTATCATTTAAAAGAATTTTAAAAGCATGCTAAAAAAATATGTTCAATATCAATACGTAGAACTCATTCACAGGATTCATCCATTCATTTACTCATTCATTCAACAAAGAAGGGTTTGCTATTTGCCGAGCATGAGACTGGGTAATATAGACAATGCCTTCCAAGGCTCTCAGAACAGCAGGGTGGAGCAGAGAGGAAGAGCAACAGATAAACAGGCAGAAGCATATGATAAGCCACAAGCTGGGGCAAGTTCTAGGAAGGAAAAGTGCAGGGGACATTAAGACATGACTCACTGCTATATGATTTCTGCCCCATGCACCACTGAGGGAGGCCTCTGATAGCCCAATAGAGGCATTTAAGCTTCATCCCAAAGTCAATGGGATTTTTTTGTTTCTAGGTCAAGTTTATTGGGGTATAATTTACATATAATAAAATTCAACCTTTTTAGTGTAGTTCTACAAGTTTTGATGAACACATAAAGTCATGTAACCACCACCAGTCAAGATATAAAAGTTTCTATAGTTTTAGAACACCCCCAAAATATTCCCTCATGCACCACTGTAACCAACCTCTTCCCTCAATAATCAGCCCCCTAGCAACTACTGATCTGTTTCTATCCCTACAGTTTTGCCTTTTCCAGAATTTTACATAAATAGAATTATATAGTATGTAGCCTTCTTTCACTACAGTTCTGGCTTCTTTCACTTAGAACAATGCATTTAAGATTCATCCATGTTGTTGCATGTATAAGAAATCCTTTCTATTTTATTTCTCATTAGATTGTATGGATATACCAGTTTGTATATCCATTCTCCAGTTCAGGGACATGTGGGTTGTTTCTAGTTTGGGGTAATTATGGATAAGGCCACTAGAAACATTCACACGTATATTTTTATTGAATATCTATTTTTATTTCTCTTAGGTAAATACCTAAAAGTGGGCTTACTGGTATTGAGCTTTGTAAAATATTGACAAACTGTTTTCCAAAGTAGGCATGCCATTTTCCATTCTGACAGCAGTATATGAGAGTTTTAGTTGCTACACTTCTTTGCCAATACTTGATATTGCCAGTTTATTTTCTTTCTGCATTAACCATTCTAATAGGTATACAGTAGTATCTCATTGTGGTTTTAATTTGCATTTTTCTATGATTAATGACATGGAGCATGTTTTCACATGCTTATTTTCCATCCATATACATTCTTTGGTGAAGTGTCTGTTAAAGTATTTTACTTATTTTGAACTGATATTTTGGCTTCTTACTGTTGAGTTTTGAGAATCATTTATATTATCTGGATATAAGTCCTTTGTCAGACATGTAATTTAAAAGAAAGAAGGAAAATTTGCAAATACTTCCTCCCAATTTGTAACTTTTCCATTCATTCTCTTAAGAGTGTCTTTCACAGAGCAAAAACTTTTTCATTTTGATGAAGTCTTATTTATAAGATTTTTCCTTTATGCATCAGACTTCAGTGTTATATCTGAGAACTTTTTGCCTAATACAAGATCACAAAGATTTTCTCCTATGTTTTCTTCCACAAGAATTATAGTTTAAGATTTTACATTTAGCTCTATGTTTTATTTTGAATTAATCTTAATACGGTACAAGACATGGGTAGAGGTTTGGTTTTGTTTCATTTTAGCTTATTATTAAAGATGTCCAGTTGTTCTAACACCATTGAACTCTCCATTGAATTGTCTTTGTGCCTTTACTGAAAATCAGTTGACCATATATGCACAGGGTGAGCACCTATTTCAGGCCTCTTCTTTTCCACTACCTGCATGTCTATCCTTTTGCCGATACCATACTATCCTGATTACTATAATTTTGTAGTAAGTCTTAAAATCAGGAAGTGTATGAATCCTCTACTAAATAGCTACTGGTATTTAAGTTCTCTTTCAAAACTGTTTTGGATATTCTACTTTCTTTGATTTTCCATATAAATCTTACAATCAGCTTGTCAGTTCTACAAAATAATTGGATTGTGCTGAATCTATAGATCAACTTTGGAAGAATTTTGTAATTTTCAGCACACAGATATTGTGCACATTTTGTTAGCTTTATGCCTAAGGATTTCATGGTCTTTGGTGCTATTGTAATGGTACTTTTTAAATTTAATTTTCCAAATTTTCATTGGTAATATAGAAATACAACTAATTTTTCAGCAGTAGACTCATAGACACTGAGAAGTGACTAATGGTTATCAAGGGAGAGGGGTTGGGGTGGGTGGATGCAGATGGTGAAGGGTATAAAGAGGCACAGTAATTTGCAATCACAATATAAGCTGGTCATGGGGACAGTAGAACAATGTGAAGAATATAGTCAATGATTCTGGGACATCTTTCTATGTTGATAGAAACCACACTAGAGGGGATGAGAATTTAATAATATGGGTAACTATTGAGCCTTTGTGTTGTACATTTGAAATGAATATAAGATTGTATATCGATGATACTTCAATTTAAAAAAAGAAATACAACTGATTTTTATAGTTATCTTGCATCCTGAGAACTTACTTTTTTTTTGTATGTATTGTATGCTTTTTTGTAGATTCTTTTGGATTTTACAAGTTTTATTTTTTCCTTTCCACCATGTATGCTTTTTTTTTTCATGCCTTTCTGTAGTGGCTACATCTTCCAGTACAATATTGAATAGAAATTATGAAAGCAGGTATTCTTGCCTTATTTCCAATTTTAGGAGAAAAACATCCTCTTTAAAATATGATGTTAGCTGCATATTTTTTTGTAAATGGTCTTTCCCAGGTTGAAGTTCTCTTTTGCTCCTAGTTTGCTGAGAACTAAACATCAGGAAAGATGTAATATTTTGCCAAATTTTTTTCTGTATCTATTAAGATGATTACACTTTTCTTCTCTAGTCTGTTTTTATGGTGAATTACATGATTGTTTTTTTTTCCAGAATAGCTTTTTTAATTGATATAAAATTTACCTAACATAAAATTCACCTTTTATACTTTAATAAATATATTTTTTAGTAGATTCACAATTTTGCATAACTATCACCACTAATCAGAACATTTCCACCACTCCAAAAAGAAACCTTATCTCCCTTAATAGTCATTCTGAATTTCCCTCTCCCTCCAGTCCCTGGCAACCACTAATTCACTTTCTGGCTCTCTGGATTTGTCTAATCTGGACATTTCAGATGAATAGAATCCTACAATATGTGGCCTTTTGTGACTGGCCATAAAGTTTTCAAGGCTTCGGGTAGGTCCAAGATGCTGATATAGAAAGAGCCTGCCCTGTACACACCAAATCTATACCTATACACAAAGCAATTCATCCTGAGAAAGTACTGAAGCCTGAGTGAATGCCTTCTTCACAAAATGGGATTAAAAAAAAAGGCTACTTAAAAAAATGGCAGGAGAGAGGAAGACATGGTAATGGAGGGAGCCCCACCCCCAGTGTGGCCCTGTTGTAGGAAAGGATGTTACTAAGCTCCTGGAGTACAGATTCACATACCTTGGGGCACAGACAAAAAGCTGGGAGGTAGATGGTTTAAAGCTGACCATGACTATAATTGAAGACAGTTGATTTTCAGAACTGAAGCACCCGCCAGTAGCAGGTGAATAGCTGGAACTCTCTCCAAGACAAGAGGTGCTAGTGAGCTCCATTGTTCACGTTCCCTGCAGACGTTGCTAGTGTGGACAGGGTGAGCACCATTATTTACATTCCCCTGACACTGCTGGTACAGATGGGAACAGGGTGCGCACCATTGTTTATGTTTCCCCCAGACACTGCTAGTGCAGACAGTAGCAGGTGCACTCAGTTTGTTTATGTTTCTCCCAGACACTGCTAGTGCAGTCAGTAGCAGGTGCACGCACATTGTTTTTGTTCCCCATGAACATTTACAGTGTGGACAGAGCAGGGTCAGGATGAACACACCAGCTCAAGACTTGACAGAGGCAGCCTCCCAGCCCATGACCACATCCAAAAGATCCAGACTGATTACTGGTAATGAAATTGAATTTGTAAAAAAAAAAAAAAACTTTCAACAAACAAATGTCCAAAACCAGACAGTTTCACAGGAGAATTATACCAAATATTTAAAGAAAAGTTAATACTTATCCTTCTCAAATTGTTCTAAAAAATTAAAGAGTAAGAAAGCTTCTAAAAGCATCCTATGAGGCCAGCATCACCTTGATACCAAAACCAGAAAGACACTACAAAATAAAATAAAATTACAGGCCAATATCCCTGGTGAACATAGATGCAAAAGTCTTCAACAAAATATGAGCAAACTTATTAAAAAATATATTAAAAGGATCATTCATCATGACCAAGTGTGATTTATTCCAGGGATGAAAGGATGTCTCAATATCCATAAATCAATAAAGGTCATACACCACATTGGAAGGATATGGTCATCTCAATACATGCTGAAAAAGAATTTGACAAAATTAACACCTATTCATACTAAAAACTCTTAACAAAGTGGGTGTAGAGGGAACATACTGAAAACTTTTCCTTTAAAATCAGAAACAAGACAAGGGTTCCTGCCCTTATCACTTTTATTCAATATAGTACTGGTAATCCTAGCCACAGCAATCAGACAAGAAAAAGGAA